CTGTACTGATACAGACTTTTCTGATGTATCTAGTGGCATTTAACATTCAATGTGTGTTATAGGATCCTGATGGAGAAAATGCTCGTAGGGCATTGCAACGAACAGGAGGATCACTTCCAGGAGGACATGTACCCGATATGGCATCGGGGTTGATGAATTTACCGCCTTCCATTCTCAATAATCCAAACATTCCTCCTGAGGTTATCAGTAATTTGCAGGCTGGTAGACTTGGTTCCACAATTTTTGTTGCTAATGTAAGTTTAAGCTGTAGTCTAAAATTTTGTTACTAGATATTTCTAATCATGAGATGGTTTAGTTGATGAATGGGGTATAGGTTTATAGAACCTTTTGCTTATTTTTAATTTAAGTAAGTGAAACAGTAATTATTGTAAACTCAAACCTGAATTAAGTCTATATGTGTAAGGTTAGAGTGTAAATTTAGGATTTTTTAAAAGAACTGTGGAATTTATAAACACAAGCAGTTCTTGAAATTATTTACTTTTATTCTTTGTGATTTTTGTTCAATTGGTAAATGGATCTTTCTTTAGCTTTGATATTTGATATTTGTGAATGTGCACATTGTAGTTGCTTTGTCACTTGTTCTAAGCTTTTGAAAGTCAGTGATATCAACAGTACTTTCCAATATATGAATTTCTCTGAGTAAAAATAGCTGTTCAAGTTTCAAATGTACAAAACAGGACTGAGCAGTTGAGAGACTGTTTTGGGTATTCAGGATATAGATGTAGCTTAACTGATTTAAGCAGCTTAAGATGTTTTTACTTGAATACTATTGATACCCTGTTTAACAAGAATTCTAGTTCTTCATAGTTTTGAGAGATCAGAAAAGATTTGTTTGTATTTGTAAATGGGGAGAGGGGTTTATTAGGTATGTAACAATATAATTTTATGTTAAGCTTGACTTCAAAGTTGGTTGGAAGAAGCTAAAGGAAGTGTTCAGCATAGCTGGAACTGTAAAGCGGGCAGATATTAAAGAAGACAAAGATGGCAAGAGCAGAGGAATGGGCACAGTCACTTTTGAACAAGCAATTGAAGCAGTTCAAGCAATTTGTATCCTGATTTACACTTTAGCAATATTTAATAAGGTTGAAGAAGCTTTACTACTATTTTGTGGGGGTCATGAAATTAAGGTTGCCTGACTTAGAAATGTGTGTTAGACTTTAGTCTCCAGCACAGAAAACCTTTACTATGTCCAAGTACTAAAGTCACTCTTAAAACTTGAATTAGCCATATTGTATAAACCAGTGTAAAGTTTTTCCTACGTTCCCTTCCTACTGCAACTAACTATGTATACCTGCTGTGGACAGTTATGTAATACATTGTACATTAATGCAGTTGATTTAAATGAAGCCTTACTAATTTTATTGTTTCAGTGGTTATAAAAGATTTTAGTTATAAAATAAAACCATAAAGCAAAGAATTGAAGATTTTTCTTTGAGTATATGGAAGATTCCAAAACAAGTAAAACATTAAAGATGTTGATTAAAATATTAGAGATAATCTGACTCTAAATAAGAGTATTAAAAATGTGTTTGTATTCAAGTATAATTTTATAGTTGTCCTAACTGACTTTCCTTGACTGAACCAACAGCTATGTTCAATGGGCAGTTTTTGTTTGATAGACCTATGCATGTGAAAATGGTGAGTTCCTGTCTATCACTTCAACCCTCCAACCTCTTCAAATCTTTTATCTGCTGTCTACATTACAGATATTTTTAGCTGTATATTAATCATATATTAAACTTTTTTTGCAATTAGGATGACAAGTCTGTCCCTCATGAAGACTACCGTTCACATGATAGTAAAACACCACAATTACCACGTAAGTCAAAGCTATTAGAAACAGTACAGACTATTCTTTTTCAGCTTTATATTATATTTTAAGCAAAACTATGTTTTTGTGCCTATATCCTGTTATGTACAGTTTGGCTATTTAATAGTCCCATGGATGCTCCATAACTACTTTGCTGTAATATATATTCAGGCATATCAGTTTTTTCCTTTAATCACTGTCAGGGTAATTCATCGTTTTTTTGTATACAAATCTTTGGTATGTTGTTGGTTATTTCCTTTTAAGATAGATATCCTGAAGTTGAGTGACAGGTTCTCAGGTATGCTCACCAGAAATATGCTCAAGTATTATCAAATTGTTTTTCGCAGGATTATAAAACAGTAATGTAATACACTTAACATCTGTGTCTCCATGCTCCATCTGCAAAATAAGGATGGCAATAGTACTACTACATAGGGTTGGCATGAGTATTGTGTGAGTTAATATATTATGTAAAGCGCTTAGAACAGGTTTGGCATAATGTAAGCTCTCAATAAATACTAGCTCTTGTTCTTACTATTCTACTGTACCTTCTCTGATTTTTATTAAAGTTTTTTATTACAAAATATTTTAAATGTACAGACAAAATTAAAATACTCATGTAGCTATCGTAGGCCATATTTGTTATAGGTGATTTTTCTTTAAAATGAAATTTTACAAATATGATTTTGAGATTCCCTCTCTCTTCTGTCCACCTCCCATCAGATACCTTTATCTAGAGAAAAAAGCTTATGAATAGAGCATTTAGCATTTAGGTTTTAATAATTTGGCTGCACATTTATACATCCATAAACATTATATGTACTTGTTCTGCTAAATTTCAAATTTGGTGTGACATCATAGAGTATATATTATCCTTCAACTTGCTGTTTGTGATTTAACATTTTTGAGATTTCACTTATGTTGATTAATCCTATCTTGGAGAGTATTTGTTCTTTTTCTTTTATAATGATCCCCTCTCTTAATGTTTGCTGGAAATTACTTGTAAAAGTTCCTGGTCTTGGTGTATTGTTTGGAGAAAGATTTTTAACTACTGATTGTTCATATTTTCTGTTGCTTCTTGAGTCAGTTTTGGTAATTTCTATTTTTCTAAATGATTTTCCATTTTTGTCCATTGTCACGTTTTTTGGCACCAAAGTCTTTTATTTCTGCCACATCTATAGTTACATCTTCTGTTAAATTCCGAAGGTTTGTAATTTCTCTTTTTCTTGGTCAGTCTTGCTTAGAGTTTTGTCAGTTTTATTAGTGCTTTCAAAGAAGTAAATGTTGTTTTCTATACCTTAATTCCTGCTCTTAGCTTTATTTTTTCCTACTGTTTTTTTGGGTTTAGTCCCTGTTTTTTATCATAATTCCTTAAGATGAATACTTCACTAATTCGCAGCCTCTCTATTCTAATGTAGTTAGGACTATTAATTTAGGAGCTGTACACAAGTTTTGCAATGGGATCTGGTACTGTGATTTAATTTTTATCAAATTATCATTAGGACTCTTCTTAAGCCATGTATTTTTGAATTTCCAAATGCATGGGTGTTTTTTCTTTATAATTCCTAGCTTAACAGTGTGGTCAGAGAATATGGTCTATATAATTATGATTCTTTGAAATTAATTTGGGCTTTGTATTATGGAGTAATATATGGCACAATTTTATAAATATTCCAGGTGTGCTGGTGAGTGCACTGTTCTATGTATGTCCATCAAATCAAGTTTGTTAATCATTTAAATTGTCTTAAATCTCTGCTAATAATTTTGTCTGCTTATGCTGTCAATTACTGAAAGAGATATATAGTAAAATTCTCCCACTAGAATGGTGGATTTTTCTGTTTTTTCTTACTTTTACTTTAAATATTTTGAAGCTAACTTAGGTGCATCTAAGTGACATATTTTCCTAGTGAATCAAAATGTCATCATTTTAGAGTGATTTTTTCTTTAGTAACTACTTTTAAATATTTTGCCTAGCATTAATGTAAATACAGCAGCTTTATTCCGTTTATTCACATGTATTGATTTATTTGGATTAATTCCTGTCTTATTTTGTGTTGTTTTTCTGTTTTTTACAAATACTTATTTTCTCCTATCTTGCTTGCTTTTTTAATGATTATCCTGAATATTTTAATGTGTCTATATAAAAAGTCTGAAGTTAATATGATTATTATTTTATTCAGTAGTAGAGTGACCTTTAGATGCTTTAATTCTAACCACTTTCCTACTGAAGTTACATGTTGTTATTGTTCAGTGTTTTATTTCTATATTGCTTTTTTCACTCCTACAAATTAGGCATTGTTATTATTTACCATTTTCTTGTCTCTGCTTTCATAGATCCTGGCACTAATTTTTTTTCCCTGAAGCATATATATTAAAAACTCTTTAATGAGGCTCTGTCGTTAGTAAATTCTTTTAATTTTGGTTTGTCTATAAATGACTTCAAAGATAGTTTCACTGGTTATACAGTTTAAGATTGGTGGTTATTTTCTCTCAGCACTTTGAAAATATTCTAGTCTTCTGGTTTCCATTGTTGCTATGAAGTCAGCGGTTCAGTTGACTAGTCCTTTCTTTGTAGGTAAGCAGTTCTTCATGTCACTAATTTTAAGATCTTGGTCTTTGGTATGCAGTTTCACTACAGTGTGGGTGTGGATTACTATTTATTGGGCTTTCACAGTCTGAGAATTCAGTTTTTAAAAATAAATTCTGGAAAATTCTCAGCTCACATGTCTTTGAATATTGCCCTTTTCTTTAAGGCAATCCTTTTCCACCTCCACTAAGTTTACCTTATCACTCAGGTGTCCTCTTTCAAGATCCTGGCTTATGTAGGGGCTTTCCAATTTACTTTACCACCATTAATATTCTTCTATTTATTTAGATAAAAATATATCCTTTATTATATTCTTTTTCAGACATTTTTATGTATTCTATTGTAATATATATGAATGCATAGACTTTGGACAGTTTGTTGTTTTAGTTAACTATTGTTAGCCTCCCTGTTTTTTTCTTTTCCCTACTTCCTTCCCTTCCTTTACTCAAATTGTTATAACTTGGATATAGAGCCTCTTTGTTTCCTGTGCTTCTGATATTCTTACTTTTTGGTTAAAAACAGGATTTCCCAGATTTACGAAGATTTTGCATGTTCCAAGATGTGGGACTGATCTCCTTTCCAGGGGTCTGGGTTCCTTTTAGTGAAGAATGGTATCAGAGATGAAAATAAGAGTTCTAGATGTAGACATGAACATTGTTGATAGTCAAATATGCTATTGCTTTCAGTTGGACCAATTTTAGGGACTGAGCTGAAAAAATATTTTTTTTAACCAGGTCACATTGATCTTTCCAATTTAATGCAACATGCTTCTCTATTCTTATCTTAAAAAAACATACATATATATATATATATACACACACACACACGCATATGTATTTTATACACACATACACAGTATATGGAATTCTCAGCCCCTTCCACTTACTAATTGCTATATTAACTAGCAAAAGTTTTAAAACCATACTCAGATTTAGTAAATAAAAGTCTCCACTAATATTAATTAAAGTCTTCTGTCTTTAATTTATCAGATTTTTTTCTGAAGGTCTTATTTTCAACAAATTTAAATAGTTTAAGAGAGGTAGTAAAATAATGCTGGATTTAGAGGCAGACAACTTAAATTCTAGTCTTAGCTTGATCACATAGCTAAAGGGTATTTGTACAGGTAACCTAAGGTCTCAAAAATTTCCTCATCTATGGACAGGTGCCATATAAATGTAAATACATATTTATGTTAGTGATAATAAAACTTAGGTAATATTTGTTTTATTCAATATTTTCATGGTTATAGACAGTTTGATTTAAACCATCTTAAAAGTAATTATTTAGATTTTAAGTGGTTCTACAAATTGGAGGAAGATTTTCATTTTTAGATATATATACCATTTATAAGATGGTATGATGTTATTCAGAATCCTCTTGGTGTTTCATCAGTCCTTCTCAGTATGTCTTAACTAGGATATTAGCTGGACCTGCTTCATAAATATTTCCCTTTCATAAATGGTATTATAGTGAAGCTTCAGTATGTTGCATTCTAATGAAAACAAGAACCAGTGCTCTTATTTACAAATTTGGAAAATTTAAAAAATACTACTACAGGCATATAGCTTTAAAAAAATTTTAGTGCCACTTAGTTAATCATATATGAGCTTGTAATGTTATACTTATTTGTTTTAGGTGGTCTTGGAGGCATTGGAATGGGACTTGGTCCAGGTGGACAGCCTATTAGTGCCAGTCAGTTGAACATAGGTGGTGTAATGGGAAGTTTAGGTCCAAGTGGTAAGTGTTCTGTTTCTTTTTAAATGATACATTTGCTAGCTTATAAAACTTCAATTATCAGTTTATAATAATGTTTACAGGACTATTTTATAGTTGAATATTCAGGATGCACTTCAGTCTGAAAAAGAAATGAACCCTTGAGAGCAGAGAACATGAAGGAAGGTGGGAGAAGGTCAGGAGGGCTGGCTCTGCTGTAGCTAGCCTTTCAGCACTTTGGATTTTGAAGTGTCTTTAGAGAAGGAAAATGTTCAACATAGTACTTTGTGTATCATGGATATACAGTATTTATGGAATGGTTGAAATGCTACCATATCATAGGTAGTTTAAGTATATCTGATTGGGAAGGTAGCTTTTTGGATAGCTACTTGGCTCTTTACCTGGACTAATGTATAGTTTATCTCTGAAAACTTGTTTTTAAGCTTTTTGATTTCAGGACCCTTTTATACTCTTAAAATTTGTTGAGGACTCTAAAGTGCTTTTGTTTATATGGTTGTATTTGTCAATATTTACTGTATCAGAAGTTAAAACAATTTAAAAATATCTATGTAATTATTTTAAATAATAATAAACCCATTGTGGTAATATAAGTGCAATTTTTAAGAAAAATAATATTTTCCAATTTAAAAAAATTAGAAGAGTGGCGTTCTACCTTTCTGTACATTTCTTTAATGTTTGGCTTAATGCAAGACAGCAATGCTGTCATTTCTGCATCTGTATTTGGTTTGTTGTGATAATGTAAATCATGTGTTTCTGGCAAATTCCACCTTATACTCATGAGACAATGAGATTAAAACAGTCAAATAATATCTTAGTATTATTTGATGAATGAAATAGTTTTGACCTATTGGACCTTCAAACGTCCCCAGAGTTTACTTTGAGAATTGCTCTTTTAATTGATGGTCTAAGAAATGCTGTCAGATTCCTATTTTTGTTGAGGTATTATAGCTATACCTTAAGTTATGAGGGTAGTTAAGGTAATCAGTCTGATCCAAACAGATGGAAATTTTCTCCCTTACTCTTAGGCCCTCCACCTCCTAAACATATAGTATTATTATTCTTTAGTTTTTTTACTGCTCTCTTAGCTGCCATATTTAGAGGCATTCTTACTTTCTGAACTGATCTCTGAGTCTGCTGCAGTGATATTTGTGTGTCTCTGCTGAAAAAAACCCTGAATGATTACCTAGTCTTCTATATTCTCTAACTGAATGTGACTGTGACCAGTGAATTTTGTTTTCTTATTTAATAAGTAGTCAGAGAAGCCTTTTTGAAGACTCCTGATTAGACAACTTCTATGACATAGTCCTTTTAAGCATCCCACCTGTGATGCTGCTTCTCTAGTGGTCCATTGTGGTTAGACCAGTGGTATCTTCTTTGCTGTATTGCATTATGTCTGTCTTTAGTCATAAAAATAAGATTATTGAAAGAACATAATGTGTATTTTATTTGAGGTATGGGAATGGATGGTCCAGGTTTTGGAGGAATGAATAGAATTGGAGGAGGTATGTATAAGCATTTGTTTTTTATATGTACCCATCACCATTTTTAGTAAATTAGAAATTGTGTTGAATTCCAAGGAAAAAAAAAGGCATGGTTTATTGTTGGCTCACATCCTAAAGGCTGCTAGCAGAATTTGAGTCTGGTACATCCTTAAGGGATATGGAAGTGATCTGTTAAGAAGCAGCTGCACAAGGTAGGGTGGATGAAGAGTTTACTGGTGAAACTTAACATTTACAAAAATAAACATTTCAGCTATACAGCTGATAGTCAAATCTCAAAATTAATCTTTATTCCATAGGAATTGGGTTTGGTGGTCTGGAAGCAATGAATAGCATGGGAGGATTTGGCCGAATGGGAGGTAGGTATAGTGGGATGTGTATGCTTCATTTAATTCCTATTATTAAAAATTTTCCCCCTTGACTTAGGAATGGGTACTATAGATGTCTTCAGAGGGCATGTGGACACTAGGGGATAGGGAAAGGCATGGTGGGCCTGGGGAAGAATATATGTGGCATGTGAGGTAAGTTGGGTAAATCACAGATTTTTTATATTTGTGATTTCTGCTATCTTTTCAGTTTCATTTCAGTGTTCTTAAATGGATTTCCAAGGATTGATATACTTGAAAAAGGGTTAATTTGTTGCATACTCTTTTCAGAGCTATACCGTGGTGCAGTGACTAGTAGCATGGAGAGAGATTTTGGACGTGGTGATATTGGAATAAATCGAGGCTTTGGAGATTCCTTTGGTAGACTTGGTAGGGCTGGCTGCATACTTCTATTTTTCCTACAGGTTATATTTTTCAAAGTTTGTTTCTCTTTTTTATGAAAAGCTGGAAATTGATAATGTTTTATACAGTTTATGACTTGCAGAAAAACACTTGAGGGATTTTAATGTATCAAATTTCTTTTTCAGTATCTTATATATTAAAACCCTATTTCTAGAAGATTTTACTTTTCAGATACTGTACATCTGAGATCATAGTAGCTTGGAAATTTTCAAGTCTGGTGTTTAAATTAATTAGTATATTATCTTTCCATCCTTGTTTAGGCAGTGCAATGACTGGAGGGTTTGCAGGAAGAATAGGAGCTTCTAACATGGGTCCAGTAGGATCTGGAATAACTAGGTTTAATTTTTACTAGAATTTATTCAGTGATATTTGAGTGCCTGCAAAAGACTTTGCAAGAGTAGTTACTGTAGTGTAGTAATACTTTATTCTTATATGTTAATATGTCTTATGATTAAGAGAAACTTTGATAGTTACTGAGCTTTTCTGTTTGACCACTGTTTGAAATTTCTAAGCTAACTTTGAATTTTAGTTCTTTGACATTTCTAAACTAACACCATAATATGTAGTAATTGGCAACCAAATCAAGAACCTCCTTTCCAACTAAGAAATCTGGGGATTTCCCTGATCAAGTGTTAGGAACAACTTTTGGTTTAGCACCAACTTTGTTTCCTTGCTTATTGTCCACAAGTACTGTTGGTGACTAGCTTATTTCATCTATGAACACATCTTGTACCTTTTGTTAGACAACAGGTGAATTGACCTAAACATGACACTTTTAGAGACCTTCTGAGGCTGGGGGCTAAGGTTGAAAGAGATGCTGATTTCCTCTCCTCCTAGACCTTTCTTGTGATAGAATCATGTGTAGTTGTAGCACTGGGAATGCAGAATTTCTCCTATCTTTTTCCACTAGCACACTAGAGACCTTATATTAAGCCTTAGCGTATGGCTTAGTTTTTTTTACTCTGTTGCTTACTGAACTATGTCTCTGAGTTCTCCATACTACCAACTTCCTTTAATTGATTGAAATCTCATAAAAGAAAACACAGCCTCCTTCAACTGTTCTAAGAGTGAATTCAAAAATCCTGTCAGCTGAAAAAATTTACTTCCATTGTACCTTGATTCTCATTTTATTCCTTCTTTTCAAAGCTTTGGTCACTTTTTCCATTAATCGTAACTCCCCTTCCTCCCATTTTTACCTCAGTGTTTACAGTTCTGTTTCTCTCACTTTATATTTGCTCTTCACAGAAATCCAGTGTGAGGGTGACATTAATTTTTAGAGTTTCTATGTATGAGGATATTGAGTATGACAGAAAAATGATAACTTTTGAGAATGAGTAGGATTGGAATAGAAGGAACTCAGTACACAAGAATGAAGTGGTTTATGATCTGCTAGCTAAATTCCCAAGCTTTGGTTAAAGGAGTGTGATTCTAATTTTTTGTTATTTCCACAAGTTTTATATAATGTTAAGATTAAAAGTTAGGTTTTTCTGTGGTTATTGAAAATTGAATTGATACAAAAAGAGAAACTGCATGTGAAACTTAAGATAACTGTGGTAAAAGGTAAGCTAGGAAAAGACATGTAGATGAATATGATGAAAGCAACAGTTGATATGTTGGAGCTGTAATAATTTGAATTTACCTCATATATCTTTATTCTAGCAATTAGCCTGGTATTATTAAAAAATAAAAGTGAAAAGTGAAAACTACTTAACATTAATGGATAAAGTAATTGGTAGAAAATTTATATAACTTAAATGATGTATTTTATGATCAGAATATAATTTTATAGAAGTATATATGTGTAATGTATTTTAAATAGTGGCTAGAATTAACAGATTTAATTATCCATTAACATTCAACTAACCAAATATATACCAAATTACATTCTGTTCCTTAGAAGATCGTTAATATTGGGTGAAAATAATTTTATGTTTATGTATTAGCTAATTACATAAATGAATGAATTTTTCTCTCCTTTTCTTTCTCAAAAATGATTCTCTCCCTCTTCCTTTCCTTCTTCCTCTTCCTTCTTTGCCTTCTATTTTTAAAACAACAATACCAAATTCCCAAACCCTCCCTTTCCTTGAAAATCTAGGTGGTGGAATAGGTGGCATGAACAGTGTGACTGGAGGAATGGGAATGGGATTGGATCGGATGAGTTCCAGCTTTGATAGAATGGGACCAGGTATAGGAGCTATACTGGAAAGGAGCATCGACATGGATCGAGGATTTTTATCAGGTCCAATGGGAAGTGGAATGAGAGATAGAATAGGCTCCAAAGGCAACCAGATATTTGTCAGAAATGTAAGCAACTAAATCTAAAGCATATTTAAACTTATTTTTTCCTTTGTGTATCTGTTACTAATACCTTTTTTTATTCTAGCTGCCTTTTGACTTGACTTGGCAGAAACTAAAAGAGAAATTCAGTCAGTGTGGTAAGTATGCCAATAACTGCAGATATGTTGGTATTGTTTATGGAGGAAAAATTGATTTTAAACTTTCAAACACCATGTTTAGACCTTTACTTGTCCAGATGCTTATTTCTGGATAGTATGACAAATCTAATTCCACTTCAAATAAATGAATTATTTTTGGTATCCTCCGAATTAGAGCAGTGCAAATGACAACTTATTAACAAGATTTAGATAGAGCCTGTCATTGTCTCCTGTGGATAAAGAAAGGGCTTATTTTATTACCTGATTTTTAAAAGATTAATATATCATCATTGCTTGCATTTATAAAGGTTTGTTCTTGTGGGGAATATTTAATAAGTAATTTGTTTATTTCCCTGTTTATAGTGTAGTGCAGAGCCTTGTCAGCATCACACAATGAAATGCTGACATTTACATGAGTTAATTTGCAGAGTTAACAAGACCCATTCTGCACACTCTGTTGCCTGTACCACACAGAAAACTTAGCTGATAGAATAGAACCCACTGCCTGGCATGCCTCAGACAAAGGTACATTCTGTGGCCCTTCCCATTGTGTTCTGATAAACCGTTCTTGGCTATAATGATACTGCCTATACAACCATAATATGTTCATGAGTTTTATAGATTAGATAGTTTATTACTTTTAAAAGAGGCCCATTTTTTGTGAATGTGAGAGAATAAATGTAACTGGAATAAAGTAATATTTCCTGCCAGCTGTTTTCTGCTGTTGCATGGTATTCCAGAGACTAAAATCACAATAGTAAGCTATGTAGGTATCATATAATGATGAAAAATGACTACAAGTGTTCCATTTGGCCTTTGAGAGTTAATAGGAGATTAAGAGTATTTGGAATATATATTTAATTTTTGAGATCATATTGGGGATAAGTTCAGTGTTCTTCCACAAAAGTAGACTTTGTGGCCACCATCAATGATCAAAGTGATCACTGTGGGCACTTTGTCTTCTGTCTTCTCAGAGTGCTTTTTACCTAAGTTTATTGTAGTAATCTGTTCCCATGTTTTCTTCACTCCCAAATGGAGACTTGTTAGGGCAAGAACTGTCATCTTTTTATCCTAGCACCTTTCATTGCCTCAGTACATGTAGTAAAAGTTTATTAAATGTTTATGAGTGACTTAAGCATTCTGAGTAGATGTTCATTACTCATTTATTCAATAAATACTCAAATACTGTATTTTTGGCAGTCATTAAAATTAGAAAGGTAAATGAAGTAAGATATGCCCTCAACATGCAGTGTGAACCTGTCTGGATGTTCTGTTGACTGATTTTATTAATAATATTTTAAAATATTTTACTCGAAGAAGAGAAACTTAATATTTTTTTTATTAAAAAGTTGTTAAAAATGAGCTGACTAGTAAATAGTTACCACTAAGAGAAAGCAGAACTGTGAAGTTGTTTTGAAGTGTTGGTAGTCTTTGTAGGAGCAAGATCTGCCAGAATGAGTGAGTTCCTGGTGTTGATCCTATAGATGACAGAGGAGCAACTATGTTAGGGCCTTAGTGAAATAACATCAAACAAGGAGCAGTGGCGGCAAGTATAGGTAATCTCTGTTGTAGTTTCAATGAAAAAAACTCTTCAAATAAGATATGACATTACTTTAAAAACTAGAACCGAAACAAGATGAAGAACAAAGTGGGGCAAACAAATAACATTAATGAAAGTGTAACCAATATCAGGTTGACTGTTCTTTATTCTTTGTAGCAGATTGCCTTTTGAGGTTAGATATGAGTAAGGCTTGCATCAAACTTGAGGTCTTTTGGTGGGCTTCTTGTTGTACTGACATTGGTGGAAGGATATTAGCAATTCAAAGAAATTTTCTGAAAGGAAAAAATAGTATCCAAATCTACAGTTAAAAAATTATATAGCATTTTAGCCAATAAAATAAAGTGGTTAAATTATTATTATTTACTTCATTATTTTAGCTCTATCCTAATGTCCCTTTCTGTTCAGTCTCTAGACATGAGAATAATGATTTTTGTTTTTCTTAATCCTATTGGAAAAGCATCTTGCTCTTAGATTTATAGTAAGGTGTAACATCATACTTAAATAATTCCTTACTATCTTTCTGTTTTTAATCTTGAACTGCATTATGAGAAAGTAAGTTATGGTAGTATAGAATTAAGTATCTAGCTATTGACAACTCTGGAAATTATCTGACTTGTATGAACTGCTGAACCATTCATTTTTCTGCTATATTGTCTTATTTATTTACTTTTAAATCATAAGAGTTTTTCTTTTTTATTAATTAGCTGAATTTCTTAATTCTGCTTTTCTTTCTTTCCTTTATAGTTTTCCTTTCTTAGACTTTTTCTTAGTTTCTTTTTAACCTGCTCCAAACCAGTAATAGTCTTTTCCGTAGTGAAAGGTAGTTTTTTGTTTTTTTCCCCTCCTGAGTCCAAAGGTAAGTATTTTCTTTTGGTTGCTTCTTAGTAAGAATCTAGTGGTACTCTGTGCATCTCCTCCAGACAGTATCTGCCAGTAAATGGCCTGCCAGCAAGCCCTCTGCTGATTAAGTGTCTATATAGATCTTCCTTGACTTATGATGTTATGATGAGCTTATATCCTAATAAGCCCATTGTAAGTTGACAGTATCATAAATTGAAATACATTAATACACCTAACCTACCAAACAGCATAGCTTAGCTTCGCCTACCTTAAACATGCTCAAAACACTCACATTTAGTCCACGCTTAGGCAAAATCATCCAAAACAAAGCCTGTCTTATAATAAGGTATTGAATATCTCATAATTTATTGAATACTGTACTGCAAGTGAACAACAGAATGGTTTTAAGTGTTGTTGATAATTCACCCTTGCGGTCACATGGCTGGCTGGGGGCTGGGGCTCACTTATTGCTAGCCCAGGGAAAGATCAAAATTTGAAGTACAGTTTCTTCTGAATGCTTATCACTTTTGTACCAAAGTTGAAAAATCATAAGTCAGGGACTGTCTGTAGTGGTTAACTGTCCTTGATGGAGTAATTACAAAAGCAAACAAAATGTTGTATTATGTGGTATATTACTCTCCATATAACATTTCCTCCACCTTTATAATTTAGGCAAAAATGTGTTCATTTTAATAAAATATTAAATCCTAAGCTGATTTATCTTGATTCCAGTTCAGTATATTCTAACATGTATGTATTCATTTATGTGAATTGCAATATATTAAGAATATAAGATGAGAATAATGCTTACATGCTGTGTTACTTTTAAGTCATTGATATTAGTGTTTCTAGCCAAGTTATTTATCATTTCATTGGCTATGAGGAATTTCAAGTCTGTGTAGTGAAATAGAACCTGTTTAAATTGATTAGTAATTCTATAGTTTTTCTTCTACAGGTCATGTAATGTTTGCAGAAATAAAAATGGAGAATGGAAAGTCAAAAGGCTGTGGAACGGTCAGATTTGACTCCCCAGAATCAGCTGAAAAAGCCTGCAGAATAATGAATGGCATAAAAATAAGTGGAAGAGAAATTGATGTTCGCTTGGATCGTAACGCATAATTTCAGACCATGGTTGGAGCATTTTTGCGCCTGTTTTGCTGAATCTCCTAGTAGAAGTCATTTTTTTAGTAATACTGTATGCTTACAAGAGCTGTAAAAACGAACTTTTAAAATCCCACCAGCTTTGAACAGTATAGTGTTAAATATACTGTGATTTTTGTTAATCTCAAGTATGGGTTTTTAAAGAGAGCAAGTCTGGTCATTCAGTTTAAATGAATGGTTACACTGTTTTTAATAAGCCATTTTTCTTGTTATTTTCAGTACTACATTGTGGTATTTGTTTAAGTTTCCCCAGCTTTTTTCAACTTACTGCAAGGTAAAACAGATAATTTTTTCAAAATTCTGTCTTAAATATGTAATTGTCCTTGGAATAAAAGGGCTCAGACAAATTAGGATGTGATTTTGGTTGGTTTTAAAGTGCTTTCCTTTGGTGATAAAGAAACTCTTTAAGTTACAGATTTTAAAATTCAGGATATTTTTTATTTGACTTAAATGAAGAAATGGAGTTTTCCTTTTCTCTCCCTCCCCATCATTCACATTTTCCATATAACACTATTAATATTAACCTCCACAGCCCCATATTTTATTATTTCCAATAATTCCGAGTTCGTATAGAATTGATAATGTAACAAGCCCCAAGTATAATAATAGACAGACTATACCCAACTTTCTGTCTAGTTTCCAGCCATTGAAGTGAACTGCTGAAAAAAGAAAAATAATTGAAACATTGAGAGAGATGGTTATGTATGTCAGTCCTCTACTGTTCACTTGTACAGGAGCTGATGCATTTATAAATGCCGTTTTAATAACCCATGGAACACCTAGGCACAGCATATCAAACACGTTGGATCCCACAATGTTAGACATAGCCATATCTCCTTTGCCTACAAAAAAAAGGCATGTTGTTAAAATGTGCATACCAATACTGTATTTTATTAATAAGCTTCATTAGAAGAAACACTGGATACTTTTTTTGTTTGTTGGTTTTGAAAAATTGTATTAGAACAAAAATCTCACTGCATTTGTATTTTTTGATTTGGGGAGGGTTAGTATTTAAAGTCTTAACATTTATTTAATTATTTATTAAACCATTTTCATTATGGTATGTAGATTACTTGTCGCTCTTCATTCAAAATTCACATGATTTATTATGATTTAATGCACATTTCATATGAATATTATTTGGAGGATTAGGTTAATGAAAATGATCTGTTATTAAATAGTAAATTCTTCCTCTTGAGTCACTCCTTTTTCTTTCTTTAAGTATTATACTGAGGAAATACATATTTTTAAAGGTACTTTTGTTCAGTGTATTTCAGCCAAACTTAAGGAATGAGCAGTGCAACTTGAGGGATCTAGTTCTTACCTTTTCTTGCAACCAGCACACTTGCAATTGTGTCTGGTATGCTTGTTCCTGCTGCTAATAAAGTAAGGCCCATTACTGTGTCTGGAATTTCTAATGTTTCCCCTGTAAGAAACAAAGATACTACAAGTCACAAATATTATAGATTCACTAACCATTATCTTCAGGTATTTCAGAAATTTCCTTCACGGACAAAAAGAAAATAGGCATATTTAGATTTCAGAACTATGTTCTTAGATTTTAGCTAGCACAGTATTTGAATAAGATAGGTAAATGGGTGACCCGAGTGTGCACAGATTTTGAATGACAAATCTCTAAAGATACTTAATAGACCAAATTCTACCACGGTGTTAATTCCCCTGCTTATTTTGCTTACAGAAGTTTTGGATGTTTACTGTTATCAAGGCTGTTGCTTAACATGCTAATAGGATTAGTCATTTTCTCTTTTTCAAAGCATTTTCTTAAAGTGGTCAGAGTAAAGCAAATTGTTTGTAGCTATTAATAGGCTGCAAATGTGTTCACATGGTATACATTTTTAGGTCCTGTTTTAGTGATATGCCTTAATTTAGTGTTTTCTTTGAGAAGGTACCATGCATCTGAGGAAAACAAAAGAGGGGTCTACCTGGGTGTTTCTAACATTTGGTCCCAGTTTGTTAATGCTTCTGTTAAATTTGATATCAGTTCAATATTTTTCAAAAGTGTATTCATTCTGGGAAACAGAATCAGAGGGAGGTTTTTTAAAAAAAAGTACATGCGCTCTTTTCAGTGTAACTGAAAATTTGCTTTAGAATCTTTTCTTAAAATGTCAATTAAAAGGACTTTAAGTAGCTTATTTATTGCATGCTTACATATTGATATTGGAATTAGAATTTGTTCGTTTTTGTTATTGGTTTGCTATGGTTCACATACACAAGTAACACTAATATTTATCATCTTGGGGGGATGTTCTATAATCTGTTACTTGATTTTGCTCTCTTCCTGTTTCCTTAAATGTCAAATTCTGGCTGAGAAAATTTAGAGAGATTTCATATGCAAGCTAATTGGACTTTTTCATCTTCCTCATTTAAAAAAAAGAAAAACTACTCTGCTTTTTGCTAACATACTATTCTAAGTCGTATTTTAATTTGGAAAAAGTCAGAGATTAGCAAACTTTATAAAGGGCCAGATAGTAATTATTTTAGACTTTGCAGGCTATGTGGTCTCTGTTGGCAATTATTCAGCTCTGCCTTGTAGGGTAAAAGTATCCATAAATAATATGTAAATGAATGGGTGTGACTGTGTTCAGTGAAACTTCATTAGCAAAAACAGGTGATCTGGTAATTTGGGCACACAGGTGGTAGTTTGCTCACCTCTGATAGAAGTCCATTCAGACTAACTTTTTTGGGGGGAGAAATTTCTGTTGTTTTTTTTTTTTTTCTGTTTATATTCAGTTTTTCCTTCTGGACTAGAAGTTCTGTGGGACTAGAGCTGATTATGACCAAGCAGTAATAGTTAAATTTTAATCCTGAAAGTAGTATAGAAACCTAAAATGAAACTTTATTTTACACCTTTTTCACTCGTTTCATTGTATGTTTATATTGCCTTATTAAAAAACAAAATGAAGTGTAATCCAGTCAAACAGTAGGCACACACCGTTTTCCCAAAACACTGGCACCTTGCTATATTTTTCATTATATAGTGGAATTCAGTATAAAGAGTATATTGTCATTCCCATGTAGATATCCTGTGATTATGATTTTATTTATAAGATGATCCCTTGACTTGTACCCCTGGGCTGTATAAAAGTAAGAATATAGTAAGAATAGTTGGTATATAACATGCAACTCACAGAACCTGAATGGTCTTGTTGGCATATTAATATTTACTCTTTTTGTACTTCTGTACTCATCTTTAGTCTTTGCTGGAAAAGAAAATCTTGTCCTTAGATTACTTTTAGTGAATCTGGCAGTTCTTACATGAAACTAATTTTTTCTTTTCAAATCGTGCTCATACTTAAGATACATACCAGTAATTGTGACCATCCAGACCAGAATGTATGTAAATGCAGATATCCATACTGCTGACATGAAAAAGGTTATCACAAAATAATTTTTCCAAAACTTTCTTCTACAATCTGGTGTGGTTAGAAAAAGTAATGTAATAACAGGAAGGGATAGTACCCAAAAAATTCTTTCTAAGTCTGCTTCAGGCATGTTGAAAACACTTGGTGGATCTGTTGAGGAAAAATTAAATGATTTTTGAGTTTTCTCAAATGGTCAATTGAGTTGGAAATGTCCATTTAGAAAGCTATATTGAAATAAGTTAGCTGTATCAGTTTTTAAGAGGCTATTTAAAACATTTGAATACCTCATTAACGATATTGCTGCCAAAAGGAAACTAATTGAGACTTCAGGGCAGACAGTGTAAAATGTGATACTCAGCATATCTCGATTTGGGGGCTTAACTCCCACCAAAATATCTTTGCTCATTTGCTAAGTATATTAGAGATAATGTTTATGAAGTGTCAGTTGGACATCTCTTGGTTTTCTACAGTGTGAATGGTCTTGGAATTTTTTTTTATTAGGATTAATCTGGCTTCTACCTTAGCAACCTGTCTGTTGTCTCTACTTCCCAGTATTGATAATGCCGCTAGCCTCCCCTATGAGATAAAAATGCATATGTAAGAGTATAAAATATGGAAGGCTTGTTTCATTACTTTCTTTACTACATTCAGAATTCACCTCAGTTCTTAAGAACTTTTAAGAAAACAGGAACTAGTATAGAATCTACAATGTAATTTATAACCTTGAGCATGTTCCTTCATTTAATTTGTTTTATTAAGTAAACAGAAGACAATATATTGGATAAAAATGGGAATTCATTTTGAAATTGTTTAAAATTTGTATGGCATTAAAAAAATAATGTACTCGTATGTTGAATCAAATCACATTACCACTAATGCTAGTAAAATAACTCTTTAGAATTTTTTTTTGTGAAGCCTTAGCCAATTGGTCATCAAGTAATATTAGATATAAGTTTAGTGTAATGAAAAAAGTTGAACTGGTCCTTTGGTGTTTCTTGTAAATAAAATTTAACTTAGAGATGTTTATCTCTTGCACCTGAAAGACTACAATTTTTGTAAGAAGGAAAGAAGTGTTGTTTCAGTTTTTTTAGATAGTTAATCAGGATAACTTCCTTTTCTAATGTACTTAATTAAATTTAGAATTTGTTTCATACAACCACTTCATAAAAAAAGTAACCCATAAATTTGTATTTCTGGCGATTGCTGAATTTGACTTCCCGCTAGAAATACTTACCTGCATGTTTTGCTACTGCTTCAAATGACATGTTCAAATTCAGCTGTTTTCTTCTTTCTTTTTTCCTCACACCAACCCCTTTCAATGAAATCTCTAGCTTTTGTAAGTGGTTTTCCATTTTCTCAATCATGAACAAAGCCTCAGCATTGTCTGCTCCCTCTCTGGCCCCATACAGTCCTTCAGTTGCGTAGCCTTGGTGATGCTTCCCCTGTACATTGTCTGACGTGCTCTCTGATTACCACTGCCTCTGCTCTGTCTAGGCAACTACCAGACACATCAGCTGTTAGCAGCCTCCTACAGACACCCATGTCTTTTATCCCAGTATTTCAATTCTAACAGTCCCTGCGTACAGACCTGTAAAGACTCTTGTACTAACATGTAAGACTCTTCCTATCGTTCCTTTCTGTACACCCTTCCTCTTCGTCCTTACTGTGCTCATTCGGTGCTTCAGTTACGCTAATACTTGAACAGGCTGTTTTGTTCCTATTAATTCTTTGACAGCAATATATTTTACTCCTATCCTTAGAATATATTTTACTCCTATCCTTGTGTCATTTCCATAATAAAGACTAAAATTAGTGTTACTTATTGGTCATAAATCAGATCATTGGTTAAAATCTGATGTATAAGGCTCAGGTTTTGCTCCTTTGTGGTAATCTTTCCTATCCATCTTCAAATTTTATAGTTTGTCCCATTTGAAAACTTCAGTTAACCTTTCTTTCTCTTTATTACTATGGGCATACTTCATTTGATTGTGCTTTGTTTTACTGCATTTTGTAGGTACTGTGTTTTTTAGAAGATAGGTTTTTAGCGATACTATCAAGCAAGTGTATTGGTCCCATTTTTCCAACAGCATTTGCTCACTTCATGTCTCACATTTTGGTAAATCACAGTATTTCAAACTTTTTCATTATATTTGTCATGGTAATCTGTGACAAGTGATTATGATTTGTTGAAAGCTCATGACGGTAGCATTTTTTAGCAATAAAAGTTTTTAAATTAAGGTATGTACATTGTTTTTTAGACATAATGCTATTGCACACATAATAGATTGCTATATAGTGTAAACCTGACGTTTATATGCACTCAGAAACCAGAAAGTTCATTGACTTGCTTTATTGCCCTACTCGTTTTATTGTGATAGTCTGGAACTAAGCCCAAAATATCTCCAAGGTATGCCTGCATTTAATCCTTCACATTTTAGCTATTTTGTTTTTTTTCTTACAGTATTGAGAGCTTAAGGATAGGGACTGCCTCTTCATCATTTCTGAATCTCCAGTGTCATTTGCATAGGAAGTATGTAGTTCTAGCGAACATAACTTAATAGTGGGCTCGATGTGCTTATTACCTTCAGAAACCTGACTAAGGCTATGTAAACCCATAGGAAGTTGGGAGTTGCCAGAATCTTCATAAAATATTCCACTGTCAGTTCTTGATTGCCGACGGATGAATGCTTGACCCTCATCTTCCCATTCCATCAGTGGCTGCTGTTCACTTCTCTCCTCCATAGCTTTGGCAAGACAGGTGCAGCAAGGACTGCATTTCTTTATGATATATTGGTTAATTTTAATGTCAAAACACAGCACCAAAACATATAATCCATATATCAAAAGCAATAAAATTCCTTCATACCTATAGAAAGAGAAATTGATGTGTTTTTAAATTAAAAGCAAGTTGTTTTAGTTAATAAGTTTTGTTAAATATCTTTAATAATTTTCTAATGCAGATTCTTTCAAAATGGTAGGCATAAAAAATGCTTTGAAAAAGAATAAAAATTGTAGACTTTCAAAATAAAAGTTTACTGAATAATGATGAGCATTGTCCACCTCAGTTCATTGGCAGAATACATTCCCCAAAGTACATAATAATTATAAAAGAATATAGATAGTATCTGTTAGTTCATTTCAATGTCTAATCAAATTTACCAGTTTAGAAATTCTGTGTAAAATATTGAGAATATTTGGCTGGGGCTTTTCAGTTTGCTGTACAAAGATTTTTTTGGGGTGGATGATTTTAATTTCACCTAATTTGGATTATATTCACAAGATTTATTTACTTTTAAGAATTTTGTTCTTAAAATTATACCTTGAGGAGTTAGAACTGTCTCCCTATACTCTGATATTTTTATTTTGTAGCCAGTGAATTCTTGGTGTATCTGAAAGCAGGGTTGTTGATTTCCCTAAAAGAGGGAGCATTAGCTTGGGTACTCAGTGATTTTCCCCTTACAACTGCTGAGTCTCAGAAGGATCCCTACTGTAACTAACAGTCTTTCTTTGGGAGACAGACTAGATTTTAGGATGATTCATTTAGAAATTTTACTGTTTGCTAAGTTTCTTGATAGCAGATATCATGCAGGGGTGCTAAATAGTAGCACTCCAGAAGGGTACCATTTACAGTATTTTCTGTTTTTCTGGTGTCTTCATGCATTGCACAGTGCGCAACCTATGTGACTGTGTTTTATGTTTCTCTATCCCTTACGATTCCTAGCATAGCAATAAAACACCTAAGAGATACCTGGTGCACATGAGGTGAAAGAGTTATCTGCCCACTAAGTCACCCCCTTTTTCATTTCCTGGGAACAGCAAGGCAAAAGGAGATTACAGCAAAAGCAAACAGTTTTTAATATTGATACCTCTTGCTAAATTAGCATCAGAGAAACTTGGAGGAATTTAAAGGGACTTCTTTTACTTCCTCCATCATCTCTCCAGTCTTGTGGCCACGACCATTTCTAACAGGCACAGTAAACAATAACCCAGTAGGTAAAAAAAGCCAACAGCTGGGGCTTCAATGGCAGCAAAGTTGAGAGACTTCTGGACAGATACTGGGGAGAAGGAAGTAGGGTAATATCCAGTGATTAGTGAGACACGAAGGCTGATGTGACTGAAAAAGAAATTGCAAAGAAGGGAGGGCCCAGCCAGCAACTGTGATGAGGGTTAGCTCAGCTACCCACTGGAAAATGGTGTGGGAGTGGCAGATAATTGAGAAGTGAGAAATAACAGTTCTGAAGAAAAAAATGTTGCTAAACCATCAGAATTTCATAAAATCCTCTCTGTAATTATGTTTTACATTAAGAGTAACAATTATTTCAAGCTTACCAGTAAACTTGGTTGTCAAATATTATACCAAGAACTGCCGCTATGCTAACTGCATATGCTGCACAGTCTCTGAATAGGGGCCAACACGATAGGGTTGAAACCTGTAAAATGATAGTTAATTCAGTTTTCATTGTGCTGTAACTTCTTCAAGCACATGTTTCGTGTAATACTAAAATTGTGTATTTGTACTAAAATACTGTTATCTTGCATATTGCTTAGAGAAAAATGAATTTTTAAGAAAAATTGTGTTTCTAAACCTCTGATTTTCATAAATCTGATCAAGAGCTCTTTCTGGGTTAACTTTGAATACATATTGTTTTTCTACTGATGAATAAATTTGATTGAACACATTACTAGTGCCTTGTTTGTTTTAGACTATAGAGTGTTCTTGTAATTTTTAAGGTAATACATTTTGTTGACTGAAGTTTTCTTACCGCATTAGATAACAAGCCACAGGCTGCACAGATGCCCAGGAGATTATAAACTGCAGATCCAAGAATGGTACTAATGCCAATATCTCCCTGTGTGATAAATACACCTATGAGCAAGACAGTAGCCAAATTAGTGTTACTAGACTTGAAGAAGATGAAATCACATTGAGTAAGCAAGAAAAACAAGGAGCAGTATTTACCCAGGAAAGCAGTTACTAGTTCAGGAGCTGAACTACCAGCTGCCATAAAAGTCGCACCTGCAACATCCTGAGACAATCCGAGGGCTGAAGGCAAATGAAATGATGTTACGCCTGGTACAGTGACAAAAGTCTCTTCATAACTAAGTACTGTAGATTCTGAAAGCTATAGCTTCACAGAAGAGCACTAATACTGACTTCAACTGGAAAAATAAAACATGCAGATTGAAAAATAGAGGAATCCAGTGTCTTGCTTTCTTTAATAATTCATTACTAAATGCTTTCATAGAACAAACAGGCCAAGACACTGTTGGAGCTTTGCTGCAATTCATTCTGAGTGCCAAGATTTGGGATCTTGTAGGACCCAGAAAAGAGTCGTTTCTGGCTGTAGGGGTCTGAATGTGTGTAGCAAAAGCATGACTTCTTTAAAACTACACTGTTAACAGTGCCCCAAAAGGAGCTAAAAAGGTATTTCAGGACCCCTAATCCAACTTGAAAAGAAACGTGAACATTGGTAGGTTTTGACATCTGTAAGTAAATCTGAATTAAGGAGCTTATTTGATGAATTGGCAATTTCAACCTTGTCTAAATACAAATGAGAGGAAATCAGTTAATAAAAATCAAATTAAGGTTTACTATTGTATAATTACTCTTGATTTAGAACATGGAACCATTAAAACTGCTATAGAGTAGGAAATACAAGAAAATAACTACCATTCAAATAGTTTGTGTATATTCCTCAGACAGGCATGCAAATCCACTGTCTTCAGGGACTGACAAGGTGAGAGTCTTAAGAAATTTTTGGCCCTTTTAGTTTTTGAACTAAGGGACCTACTATGGGAAGGAAAAGAGAAAGCCACATTGAAACGACGTTGCGTTGGGAAAGCTAAGACAAAGTTGTATCAGAAATCCCCACTGAGATTTTACTGATAGATTTAAAAAATGGTCATTAGGGGTAGCACGCTGGACACTAAATTGTTTACCCTAAGTTAAAGGCGTCATAGTTAAAACTGAAATCCAGTTTTCCAAGGCTTTTGATAGCAACCCCCTGTTAGTGTTCGTTTACCTATTGATTCTTGACACTTCAGTCTTCCCAGACCTTCAAACGACAGTGTACTAGTTGAGTTCCTGTCACCTGTGGTCAGTTTCCTTGTACTTCCTGCCTATGGGGACCATTACCTATTGCTCACTCTCAGGTCCATCTCATGTTGTACCGTGCTGGGACATCTGCCATTGACCTTACTGATTTTTTTTGCTGTTCTTGTGCCATATTGCATCTTACAAAAATGGCCACACTATTTCTGCCCACGTGATTTTCCAAAACTGTTCCATTCTGTAGCAAAAAAAAAATGAGTTTATATGTCACCTTCTAGACGAGTCTTTGTAGATGAGCCTTTGTGACTTTTGACTAGTAAGTATGGCAGAGCCAGAGTATTTCCAAGGCTAGGACATAAAAGGTGACAAATCTTTCTCATGGTTCTCTCTGGAGGGACATTGCTTTAGATCCATAAGCCACATTAAAAGGCTGGCTACTATGAAATTTCCATACCAGAAAGACCGCATGAAGAGCCATATTGAAATAGAGATGCCTGAGAAACCCCTATTTCAACCCCCAAACTGTGAGTCTTCCTGTCCCAGGCACCAAATGTGAGGAAGAGGGCATTCAGAGAATTCCAGCCCTCTCTTCTAACTTCATGAGAGACCTCACCTCTAGTAAGAACTAAGCTGTGCCCAGTAAATCCCCAAAGCTGCGGGAGATAAAAATTAAATGTTTTAAACCATTAGTTTTGGGTTGATTGATAATTGGAACACCTGGCTAATGTTAATTTGTTAAACTTGATGAGTACCTACTGTGTCAGATGCTTTTATTTATTTATGTACCAGGAATATGGTAGAAAAAGCAAAAGTTTCTGCTGTTGTGGACCTTTAATTCTAGTTAGAGGAGACAGACAAGCAAAATATGTGTCATGTAAGAAATAGCAAGGAGCAAAAGCAGGGAGGGAGGGTAAAAAATGTCATGGAAGAAGGACTGTCATTTTAGATTGGGCAACCAGGAAGGACTTCACAGCTAAAGTCTTAAAGTTGAGGGGTCTAGCCACCCTCACACCTGGTGTAAGAGTACTATAGGCAGAAGGAATGAGTGCAGATGTTCTGAGGTAGAAGGTAGCCCGTGTGTTCAAGAAATGGAAAGGCCAGGGTGTCTGGAATAAAGTCTGTAAAGGTATAGCAGTAGGTTATAAGGTCAAAGGTAATGGATGGCCAGATCATGTAAGACCTTGTGGATCCTAGTAAGGACTTTGGCTTTTAGCCTGAAAGATTAAGGAAGTGCTTCAAAAGTCATTCACATACTGCCTGACCCAGTGGTCTTTTTTTTTATCATGGGGTTAGTTGGCCTTGGAAGTCCAACCAGCTCTTGTCTGAGTCATTTTACCACCTGTGAAACCTTTGTTGTGAAAAATCTTCTCAGGATAGTTGGAATGATTCAATGAGGTCCTCGAGCCTATTCATCATTTTACCTTTGGTCATGTCACTTGAACATCCGCCTGCAGTGACTCATGAAGGGAGAGAAGTAATGTTTTGTGTAACATACCTCATGGCATTCCTTGTACTAGTTAGAGTTACGTATGTGTGTGTGTGTATGTATGTATATGTACATACTTATTACATATACATATATGTATACTTTTTACAACTCTGTGATATGTAGTAAGGCCAATTGGTCATAACATTTAAAATAAAGTGTATTTGCTCTATGATTAGCATTTTTCATTTTAGGACTGAAGTAAATAACATATTTATTGTATACAATTCACTTTCATATATATAACTTAATAATCTCAACTATCCTCAAATATGAGTGGGGATATTTCCATTTTACAGATAAACAGGTTCAGAAAGTTAAGTAACTTAAAGTTACATGGACAATAAGGGTGTTAATGTGAGGAGTTAGGGCATAAATCAGAGTCTATTAAGTTCAGTGCTATTTCTATTTCACAACAGAAACCCAATATAAAAATGACATTTAGGCAGGCCAATTATAACAATGGTTGATTGAGTTATTTTCTTCCCTGTTTTGTGTACTGGCATATAACTACCCCCATTCTGTTCCTTTCCAAGGGAAAAAATAGTTCCTGGGAGTCAGAAATACTTTGGAAGTCTTCCAGCATATTGTCCAGAGAACGTATAGCATTTAGTGATATTGGATATTATCATGCATTCTTTTCTCAAATCAAATCAGGATTAGGTAATATGTGGCAGAAATTGAAAAAGAAGAAAATGCTTTATCTTGAATTAACTGTCCAAACTTGGTGCAGCTGAAGAGTGAATGACTGATCTTTGTTTAATGCTAGCTGAAGAATCCTTCATTAGAAAAATTCAATCTCAACAGAGAAATGGTGATCTGTGGGGCTGTTGGAAGGTAGGAAAATAGGTGGCCCTTTCGAACACTTTCGTTATCACAAGGCAGTAACAATAAAGCTTATTACTATTCAGTGAGCTCTAATTGAGTTATGAAAGGAAAGATTCTGTATAGATGGATGTGTAAAACTTCAAAGATACCTAAGCAAATTATATTTTAAGGTTTTGAGCATATTTTTTAAAATGGTTTATACCTTTGAACTTTAGAATAGACTGGCCTTGTCTTCACTGACCTTTTGGGTAGCATTTCTCTTTGCTATAGTTTATTATTAAAGATAAATCGTTATATTTTTTTTCCCCTCCAGAGCTATTACTTTTTTCCCTCTCTCTTACTGTAAAGGAATAATCACATGTCCTTCAGGATATAGTAGAAATGTTCAATGTGAATTTTCTTTATAGGTTTAGATATCAATTACATTATTTATATAAAGTGCAACTTTATGATAATGAACTGATTACTAAAACTCATCAGACTTTTCTTAAGCATGTTCTCTTCTGTGATGCCATGTTGGAAGGTTTATAACAGTTTTTGAAAACTCCCTACTGGAAATATAGCAGAAAGAGTTTTAAAACTAAAATGGAGACTTGGGATCTGGCCCTGCCAATACCTTGATATGACACTTCAGACAAGTCATTCAGACAAGACTTGTGTTGTGTCATCTGCAAAATGGAGGATTGGACACTACACCATCTTTAAGGTATCTTCTAACTTTATCAATTTTTACTCAAAATGTGGTGTATGAATTCTATGCCTTAAGACTCTATACCACATATTGTTAAATAAGTTCCTTTTATAATTAAAGAAAACCCCTGTATTACTGAATATTTAGAACATGGGGGTAAAAAATAGAAGGGGGACAGTCACTTACTTTTACTATTGTATTTTAACCACTACCATCATTTTAGCATATTTTCAGTCCTTTTCACAATGCACATTTCAGTAGAACTACAACCACAGGCTATATGCAGTTTGGTATCCCCTGGCACAATTTTAAAAAATCCTCAGTGACAACAAATTTTCATGCTTTGTGACTGGATTTGAGTTTTAGAAACAATCAAAAGTCATTCAAACCCAACTCTAGTGACTAGAGTGGGTAGTCATGCTGAGTAATTCTATTTTGGGTCCAAAATGAAGTGTGACAGCAAACCAATTCTTTTTTTATGATTTGCAAAAGTGGTTCTGACATTAATTTAAAATATATTTTTAGAAATATTTTGAACAAAGCATCATTGGGATAAATGCTTAGTCTCTCAATGCACAACTGCATGTATATGCTCTGTGATGTTTTTATCGACAAAAACATTTTGGAGTTCTTTATAGTTATCACCTCATATTTTGAGCCATGACAGAACAGATTCTGAAACCCTGTTTAATGCTTTTAAAGGCCTGATGCTGCTGAAAAACAAGAACTCCTCCTAACCTAACCTAATAGCTATGATTATTACAGTGAATTTCCACCTGCCCTAAGCCTATCATATAAAGCATACACAAGAAAATTTATCTCCAAACCTCACAGTTACCTGAGTTTTAGGGCCTCACATTTTCCCAATGTCACATAGGTAATAATTTCAGAGATGGGGTGGGTACCTAGCTCTTTTTGATTAAAAAAACTGCTCTTTCAGTTATACATATAAGTAAAGTGAAGAGATTGCTACATTGCTTTAGTACTATTATTTATTATCATCATCACCACTGCCTGTTCCTACAATAGCAACCTGGTAATACCAGCCGACTTGGCATTTATTTAGATCTGCACATCTGGGTAGATTTAGATGCAATCCCAGGGGGCCACAAGTTAGATCAGAGAGAAGAGAAAAACAAAGAGGATGAAAATACTCGTAAGAGGAGGATGAGTGCCTGCGTGGCAGGGAGCAAGCACTAGTCCTAGATTCTTGCTTCTTTGGGAAGGATTTGCCTCTGTAAATTTCATGAGGATTAAGAATCAAACAATCCCCTGAATGAAACTGTAGGCTATCCAAATGTTGTATCACAGAAATTATTTGACTCCCTTTCAATTGTGTCAATTTAGAACAACAGACCATGAAAAAGTGTATGATATAAAAATTATATTAGAGAAAGGGTTAATATTCTTATAGTTAAAAAAATGTCTTGGAAATCAATAAGAAAAAGACCAATACCTCCCCTTCCTGTTAGAATATGGGCAAAAAGAAATCACAAAAGCAAAACCACAAAGTTCAGCAAATGTAAAATATTCAATAATTTTGAACATACAAATAATAAGACAAATATAAATGTTATAAAATGAAGTTCCATTTTAAAGCAATTAACAAAGACAATGAAAATGATATTATTCATGGTTTTCTGGAATGGAAGCTACCCCACATTCTGGAGGCTTAAGCTGACACATTTAAACCTGAAACCCACAATGTATGAGATGGCAATGTATAAGATAAAGCTTAAAATATGCGTAGCTCTGCATCTTTATAAGGAAATGATCAGAGAAGTTTGCAAAGATTTTATACAAGTATGGGCATAACATTATTTAGAACAAAGAAAAATAATGAGATTAATTCTTTTTAAAATGATAAATTTCTACTGGGTTACTTCTGCTCAAATAGCTTACAGAATCATAAACTATTGTGCTACCATTAAAAATCACATTTTTAAAGAGTACTAATATTAGAAAGTGCACAAAAAATATGAGGAAAAAGACAAAACCTCAAACTGTATATATAGGGAGATCTGAAAGACTGAAAGGAAATACACCAAATGATAACTGGGGATCTCTGCATTGTGGGAATGTAGGTGATTTTACTATTTTACTTTTCCTTCTGTTTTTCCTGTATTTCATCAATCTAAGCAAAAATACTATGTTAAAGTAATTTAATCCCTATTAAAGAAAAATATCAGTGTCATAATGTCAATAGACAAATGTATATATTTACATCTACTTAAGTTTAATAATAATAATTACAATAAACTGATGCTGACCTGTTCTGTAATATTTTTTCATTAAACAAGAGTGTGTCAAATGCCTCTGCTACTGCCTGGGCCTAAGGATACTGCTGTCCTTCAGTGAACAAGAGAGAAAATGGCCTGACTTGCATTTCTGGGGGAGGTGAAGGACGGGGCCATGGGAAGAAGAGAGGGAGCTTATATTCATGCTCATCACCTCCATGAAGAAATGCTAGCAACGTGTGAGTATGTGTGTGCGTGGCAAGGGGAGAGGTTGCCATTTCTGTGCAGTCCCGTGAGTATGCAGTAGGATACCTGACCCTTAACTTTGGCCTTCTCTGAAGTGAACACGCTCTATGAATTCAACTAACCAAGCAGGAGACACATACTAGAAATGCTGGCACTTTTGCTTACATGGCAAAAAACATCACTGATAACCTGATTTTAGGAGCCAGGGCACCAATGAAAGGCCTAGACTCAGAATTCTGGGCAATTACATGGCTGAAGGGATAGAACTGATGGGCTGGGACTGGTGGATCTTATTTTCAGAAACTAGTAACTGAGCTTAATTTTTAATAGCTGAATTTACAATTACCTGAAGCTTGAGTTCACTCTACATAAGATGCAGGACTTATTTATTTATTGGTTTATAAACATCAATTAGTTTCCTTACGGGCAGAGGCTGGGAAAGGAAGTGGGATTGGGGTGGGGTCCTTAATGGCATTTGTTTATCACCAATCTTTAAAAAAGTTATAGCAATTTTAGAGTAAAACTGAAAAAAAATTCAAAGTATAAAGTGGCAAGTATTAGAAATCCATTATATTAGGAGTATTCAGCAACTACATATATGTGAAAACTTGAAACAGTAAATGGCCAGGCAGTATAATAATGATGGCTGGGCACCATAAAGATGTCCAGCTGCACATTAACTACCAAGAAAAACCACACACAGGCCAATTCCTTAATACATGACCCTACAAAACAGAAGTTAGAGCTCTGCAACTAACTGAGATGGACAGAATTATTGCTGACCTGTTTGAAAGACAGCCACATATATGTGGCACACCTCTTCTGGAAGGTTACAGGGTTGATTTCCAGCCACTTACAGTCACTGATGATTTCCAGGGAGGGTAGGAAGTACTCATCACAGACAATAGACACGGCCATGAACATGTAAAGGATAATTAGGAAGTAGATTATAATGCCTCCATCTGCACGCTCCTGTTTCGTGAAAAACCCTTCAGGAAATTCCAGGGATGGAGACATAACGCATTGGGTGGTATTTCCTGGTAAGGAAAAGGAGGTGAAAGTTTGAAGTATGTTGCAGTCACATATTCCAAGGCCACAAAGGGGGATTCTTTAAGAAAGCTAAGTGTGTGGTATCTGGGTGGAATTTTAAGAACCCTGGTGAAAACATATAAAGCACTTTTGAATTTGACATAGCTGTAGATCCTTAAAAAGTAGTCTTTGGGACCTGAAAGAGGTCCTTTAATGCAGTAAGCTTATGATAGTGGAAGAATTAAAAAGAGGAAATCATTAAATCACTTTTCCTTGTCTGCTTTATTTCTAAAAGAGAATTCTGAACTCCTTTTCCTCATCAGGTAGAAATTATACCTGTGATGATAAAGATTTCTGGTATTTCCCATTTAAGAGCCCAAGGTGTCCACAGGCCTGCAAAGGATCATCCATTTTTGAAGAAATAACTTCTAGGATAAAAGAAGATTGTTTTTTTTCTTGATGGTCTCCAACAATAAGAACTGGGGCTAGCCTGCTTTATGATGTCTGTGAATTACTTTGGAGCTGTCTTTGAGAACTTAATTTGATGTATTATAAGTGTTTGGTATTCTTCCAAATGCTGAAAATCAGAGCAAATACAGCAGGAAGCATAAGCAAAAGGGAGTTAAGTGAGAATTTCTCTCTCTGTCCTTTCATCTGTAGCGGCGGGGGTAGCTGACCCCAGTGTCCACCTACCTGTGGCCTTTGGGAGACGCTGGGGCAGGGCAGCGCCCGGGGCAGGCAGGTGTGCAGTAACCCAGAGGATGCCGAGGAGCAGGGCCCTGGTTGCCCACCGCGAGCCCCCTTCTGTTTGCATGTCTGCTGTGCGCTTACTGCAGCGAGCAGCTCCGGCAAGGGAGAAAAGGAGGATTAAGCTGGATCATGTGAGGAGTCTCCTTCCTGTCCAGCGCCCTGCCCAGGGCACATCTCAGCAAGGCCAGCGCAGGAGAGAGGGTGATTGGAGCCAGTGCAGCTTCTCTGGTCAGGAGCCCCACACCCCGGGGAAGCTGGGGGCGTGGGGCAGGGAGGAGAGCAGACAGTCCTTGTCTACAGCTGCTCCCGTGGCCCAGGGTCCCGGGATCAGGGCAGCTTGCTCTTTATGGCGTGATTTACTTAGAGTCTTTGTACTCGCTGTTGGACTTTCTCCAGCTTTGTAAGGATCTGAGTTTGCAACTGCTTCCACCTCTCTCCCTCCAGCCCTTCTTCTAGAATACGTTGAGACTATGTAGGTGTATTCTTTAGCTATGTTGGCACCTTATGTATTTTTGTTTTGGCTTCTCATTGTTATCTCCAATTAGGGCGAGTGGCAGGAAGGTCACTTAGAAAGTTACTGCATTCAAGTGGAGAAGTGATGGTGGCTTGAACCAGAGTAGTGGCAATGGGACAGGAGCGAAGTGGACAGCTTCAAGAACTATTAAGGAGGCATAGTAGATGCTATTTGATCATTGATTAGCTGTGCTTTCTGCCAGAGGTTCTAAAATGCAAGTTTGACAAGCCAGGGAGTGTTCAAATACAGACTACTATGTCCTGAACCCTAGCACTTGCTGAGCTTGCCAAGATGTTGAGACCTCTTGGCAATATAGTAACATGTGGCTAATAGCACAGGGTCTGGAGCCAGACCACTTCGTTTGAGTCCTAATACTGCTGCTTATTAGCTGTGTGATTGTGGCAAGTTATTTAACCTCTCAGCTCTTCTGTTCCACAATCTGTAAAATGGAAAGGTTATAGTACCACCTCCAATTAGGTTGTGGTGAGGATTATATAAATGAATGCATGTAATGTGCTTAGAATAGCCTTTGTCACATGGTCAATGTTATCAATCTACCTGTCTATCTATTAATATTATTATGAATGTATTATTCTTAACTGAGATAGAAGCTTCTTGGCATAAAGGAATTTTCTTTTTAGTTTTGCAGCTCTCATGGTTCCTTTGCTTTGCAGATAAAGCATAAGAATTGATGTGGTTGCCAAGTTTTAAATTTAGAAATTGGGTTTTCTGGTGAAAGGAGTTAAGTTACTTCTAATGTTTATGATCTTAGGTTGGTAAAATTTCTCAAACACCCTTAAGCGTTGCTGGGAATTGATTCTCATTATAAACCTCTCTGAAACTGTCATTTCTAGGAACTGACTGTCCAGATGTGTGGTGTGGTTGGGAGGCTGGGATGATGAGTCACGAAAGTACAGTCCAATAACAGCAGATTCTCAGCAAGCAGAGTTCCAGCTGATGATACCCATGGGAGGCATGCCCTGGACCACTGCACTGTGGTCTCAGTGCCAACAGTGGCTACTGTCTGGGGAAGAGGCCATTTCTGTGCTGAGTGAAAAGGTCTTTGAGCCTTTCCTCTCCAAAACATAGTAGGTCAACCGGTTAATAAAGCTAAACATTAAAAACAAACAAAATAGCTCAAAAACTCAAACCCACAGTGAACACTTTCAGTGCATGATGCTAATCTAGGAAACAGAACAAATATCTGAAGATACAATCCAATTACAATGAAACAGGAGTGCCTTGTACACTGTACTTAATAAATGTTTGTCAATTGATTACATTGTAATGATTCTTGAAAACACATTCCCACAACACATACTTGTTCTGAAGTATACATAAAATATTGATTTACCAAAACAGAGAATTTAGGAGACTAGTCAGATTTGCTTATTAATTTATTTTTCATTTTCCAAAAGGATCTTAAAGTTTTTATTGTAATATAAAACACAAAGTCACACAAAATAAAACTGTAGTTTATTATTACATTATTCTTATTGTTTTTTTATTTTTATAAGATGAGCTCCCTAGTAAACACTCCAGGTCAAGAAATAGAACTTTCCGAACAACCCTGGAAAAGCCTTTATGTGTCTCTATCTCAACTGTGCCTTTTCTCTGAAAGTAACTAGGTTCCTGAATTCTAGTAATCACTTCATCATGTGTGTATTTTTAATAGCTTATCACCCATCCCTAATTAGATGCATCCTTACGATACTATAGCTTAGCCGTAAGAGAAAAAAAGCCTTTTAAGTCTCTTTTAGTGTATAGGGTTCCCCTCCTTTCTCTTTTCCTTATAATTTGTTTGTTAGAAAACCCCAGGGCATTTATTTGATCTGCAGTTCCCCAGTCTTATGAGTGCATTGTTGATAGTGTCCTATGGTATAGCTCATTATCTTCTTCCATCTTCTGTATTTTGTTAATTGGAAGCTGGTTGCAGAGGCATGAGCAGACTTAGTTCTGTCCCTTTGACAAGAGTATGGGTGGTGGTGTGATCTTGAAAGATCACAATAGCTGTTTGTGTCTCTTTTTGTGGTGTTAGTAGCCATTTATGCTCATTACCTAAATGCATTCATTCTTTAGAGGTTGTAAGATGGTGGCATTCTATAATTTCTTCTTTGTTTATTACTTGGAATATTCTACAGTGGGGTGATTTCTATCATCTACTCTTTAGGTACCCAGTGGTACCCAGTTTATATAGAAAAAACAAGATACATGCTTGATTCTTTTCCTTTATCATTTTCAAGGTAATTGATTCTACATTCTCCTCCCCAAGTAACCAATTAGATTTTAAAAATTATGAGTGAGTGCATTAAATATACTTGATGGCTCCAATTGCAATTATCCTTTTTGGAGATCAAATACTTTCATCTTAGCTGGTGGGAGCCTCTTCAAATTGACTTCCGAGAGTCTTTGACATGTTCTTCAGTTTTTGATAGCTTTCTCATTACTTGATATAGAAAGATGTTCCAGGCTCAGCTTAAACATAAAACCAGCCATTTCTACAAAATTTATTTTAAGTGGAAAGTATATCATGACCATGATCTAAGAATCTGGGTTGCTATGAATGTTCATCGCTCACTGTTTGTATCTTTCACGCTGTCTCTGTCCCCCCCACCCCACACACCCCTCTTAATAAAATACCTCATGAATTCATACTAATACTTCTCATGCAAGAGTCCTGGTTCTTAAGGACCTGGAGGGTGACAATTAGAATATCCAATGTTTCATAATTACTCACTGACCCTATATTACATATATAAGAGTCTCATATTCTTATGTAAGAATAATAATGATACTACCACCACTAACATAATAACTGAGAAGAGTTTTAAGAATTTGCATATACTCTTTCCATTTTCCTTCTGTTAAAAAAGACTATCTGCATTGCCTAAGCATATAATCATCAAATACACTTTCCCATTAAGACTCATTTAGTCTTGGTATTACACTACCAATAACTACATTTTTCATGCTTGCTACCATTCTTAGGTTGACATTTCTGTAGATGTTTTAATATCTGAAACTTTTCTAGCAGATTCCTTGGAAGAGTTCATGGAACAATATTCCTTGAATTCTTCGTGGACAATGGTTTGCCAATGCTCTTTATGCTTGAAAAGTCAGCTTTGCTGGATATGAAATCATTGGCTCACATTTTTCCTCTTGAGTATCTTAAATATGTTACTCTATTTTCTCTTGGCATAAAGCATTGTTGTTAGCGGTTGATAATTATATAATTTTCTTCCCCTTGAAAGTCACTTGCTTTTTTTCTGGATACTTAAAAGAGCTCTTTTTTCCCTTTTTCCTTACAATTCAGTAATTTTACTAGAATATACATTCTTTGGTCATTCTGGGTCAATATTCTTAGGTATGTGGTGTGGTCTTTCAATACATAGCTTCAAATCACTTTATTTTTGGAAAATTTTATTGAATTATAGTTTTCAGTATTTGTTCTGTTCCCTTTCTTTGGATTGATATTTTCAGGGCCTTCCACTGTTCCTTCAGTATTTTTACTTGGTCATGAATCTTTTCTATCTCTTTCTTCATTTCTTTTTGATTTAAAATTTTTCATTTTTTTCCTATTTCTCTGAAGACCTTACCTGTTGTGTTTATGCTCATGTGTTCCTTCTAGTTTCATAGCGATTTTTTCAAAAATTGTTTACATCTAGTCTTTTCTCATTGCCACCGCCTCATTTCTGAGTTTTTTCTTCCTGATCCTGATTATGTTGTTCGTCATGTCTTGTATGGTTTTCTTCATGCATTTCAGGTTGTAGAAGGTTACAGGTGGGCACATCTTGCTGGTGTGTTTCTATTGCCTGAAAAGATTCTGCTTTTCTGCTCCTTATTCTCTTTCATTCTTATAACAACTTTGTGTGGAATTTGACCTTCACATCTTTCTTTTTCTCATTTTTATGTGAAATTAATTCTTCTGGCACTTTTAGAAGAAGGTATTGTTCAATATAGCTTTTCTTGATTCACAGAAATCCCTCTTCTATTGTTTTCTTGTAGTGTTTAAAAGTAAGGTAGTTTGTTCTCTGAGACTTACTGTTTCTATCCTCCACTATTAGAACTTTTCTTTCCTCATTTCTCTATTGTCTCCATTCTGCTCAAAACCTTAAAATATAATTTGCTTAAGTATCTTTGAAGTTTTACACATCCATCTATACAGAATCTTTCCTTTCATAACTCAATTAGAGCTCACTGAATAGAACAAGCTTTACTGTTACTGCCTTGTGATAATGAAAGTGTTCGAAAGAGCCACCTGTTTTCCTACCTTCCAACAGCCCCACAGATCACCATTTCTCTGTTGAGACTGAATTATTCTAATGAAGGATGCTTCAGCTAGCATTAAACAAAGTTCCATTCTGCTTAGCTTTCAGTCCATGACTAGAAGTTTCAACATGTAGCTTCATATCTTTATGTGTTTGATCATCTTGGAGATTTCATGTACATCAGATCCTAGTGTGACACCTTGCACTCACCCGTTTAGAATGAATGAAATCTTTTCTGTTTCAACTGCTGTCCTCAAATAGCCCTGTTGTATTTCAGCAAATAGCTTGTGTCACAAGGGCAGTTTGTCCGACTCATTTGTATTGGGGTTCTTGGA